AGAATATTGTCCAGAACATCAGTGCTCAAGTTTAACAATTTTAGATTAATTTGTCAAAGACACTGAAAATGTGACAAAATTAACTTGCCCTGCCCCAAAAATATCAAGATAGTGTGTTAAAATTGGCATAGGATGCTTTATTGCCTATATTAATCGATCCAAACTACGAAAAAGATCTGTTAATCTGATGACGATTACCTAACTCTTATAATAACTGATGTGACAAAGTAAACATGTCTTGCCCCTATTTTGAAGAACTATACCTCTATTAGAATACTGTGTAACTTTGTCATCAAAAAAATGTCGATAAACTAGTTATTTTGCCAGCAAGGAGCTAACAGAGTTATAATAATTTTTTTGTGACGAAATTACCCTATTTTTGACCATGTTGCGGTAATTTAATTGTGACACTGTTAACATATTACCATCCGATAATGATTTATGTGACTGGTGCATGGTACTAGCAGTGTTGTTTGATCCATAGTACGTAATATAAGGGGTTTAAGCTGGTATATCATTATTTGTTAAATTTCACACATGTTCAGATATCATCAAGATTATGTGACAAAGTAAACTTGTTTGTGCCTTCTGTGTTTTAATTTCTTACGACTATATGATATAATAACAATTCCTAGCACTTCCAGGCCATCAAATAAACCTACACTACTCAGAATTGCTTATCAGGGTGCCCTAAACATTCTTCACATATTTTCCTAAATGTGTGACAGAGTAAACCTGAGTGCACCATCTAACGAAAAAAATCGTCAAATATGTAGGTAATGGTCATATGTACCCATCCAATCAACTGGACACTCAAAAATTTGGTCAAAAACGGCAGCAAGGGGTCCATATTTACTCCGTCACATGTTTATAGTGTGACAATGTAACCATTTCCGTGCCGGCTGTATTTAAGCGATGTCTTATCACCTGATTAAGATATCGTTATGTGACAAAGTTAGCCTAGAGGATGAGACGATTATCCTAACCATCAAGGGTTTGTGTAATTTCATAGTGTGACAAAGTCAACTACACTGTGCCTTTTAATAGGGTCACTTATATTTACCAATATCCTCAAACTCAAATGAACGTGTCCATAAACGTTCAGATGAAGAATCCTATAGACGATCAGATGAAGACTTCAAACGCAGCCAGTCCAACGACTCAAGACGTAGTGCTTCTAACCGACAGATGAAAACATCTCGTAAGAGTCGCAATGAGCCCCAAACTGAAGCTCTACAGGACATCGGACATTTTTTAGAGTTGCGATCCCTTCTGACATCATTTCAAGAAACCTTTCAGAAGGAGATCAAGAGCCTAAGGTCCGAATTAGCGAGTCAAGAGAGCAAACTTACATCAATTGTTCCGAGCCTCAGTCAACATCATGTGATCAAACAGTTCCTTCCCCAACATCCCCCAGGTCACATGCCACCAACATTTCATCAATACCTTCCCCCTCATCATCAACAACAGCCGCACCCGATCCAGCAGACAACGAACTGGCATCAACTTCCCGTGTCTGGCTGTTAAATGTACAATCTTTCAACCCTAGCGCTTCCAGTACATCTAAGTGGAAGGTCTCATATCTAGCCCAACAACTCGCCGAGGAACACGCAAAACATCACTGTGTCCCATTTGTTGTCCTAACAGAGACCTGGCTGAAGTCCTATATTGAAGATGCACAACTTGAAATTCCTGGATATTCACTGATCAGAAGTGATAGAAACGCTAGGGTTGGCGGGGGAGTTCTACTCTATTCACATGACCAACTCCCCATTACTCATGTTGAGACATATGATGACCAAATATGCCAAGCTCTTATCTGCAAATGTGAACTGACAAAATCTATTATCTGCGTGCTCTACCGTCCACCTAACTGTTCAGTATTCAGCTTCAGATCTTGTCTTGATTTTCTTGATAACTACATTGCAGGCGAACCTGATGGTTTTGAGCTATCAATTTTTGGTGATTTCAACCTTCCCCGTATAAACTGGTCCACTCATACTGTTTTACCAGGGGGAACTGTCTCGTCCATGGATGCTACTGCGCTCCTTCTTGATTTTATGGCTGAAAACTTGTGTACACAGTACATATCTCAACCGACTAGACTAGAAAATATTCTCGACCTCTGCATCTCGAATTCTGAAGAGCTTGTTACCCACACTTCTACATCAGACACCATCCTCTCAGACCACAGACTTGTTGAGATTTTCTGGTCTTACAATCCTTGCTCCTTCACTACTCCTGATCCGCCTGACTTTAAAGAACTATCCTTCAGAAGTCTTGATTTCTTCAAAGCTGACTATGATTCAATCAGTAATAAAATCAAGTCAGTGGATTGGGACGCTCTCTGGGAAGCTAGCGAGCCAGAGGTTTTTCCGGAGCTCTTTACTCAGACTGTCCATCAAATCTGTGTAATATATTGCCCAAAGAAAATTCCTCCCAAAGACAAGCAAGCATCACTTGTCCGGATTCCTTCTAGAAAGAAGCGCAAGCTTCAAAAAGAACTTCGTGATGCTGAGAACGACGTTCACTGCCCTAGTACTCGTTTGAAATCTCTTCAAAACAAGCTTGCTTTGGCCCACATAGGAATTCGTGATGCTATTAACAAGACCCTTCAGTATCGCGAAGAGCAGGCTGCAGCAAAAGTAAAAGCAAACCCGAAGTACTTTTATAGTTATGCCAAGAAGTTTTCGAAAAAGAAAAGGAATATCAGCATGCTATTCGATGAGAACAGTAACATCCGTTCTCATCCTAAGGAAATGGCAGATCTTTTACAAAACCAGTTTCTATCCGTATTTAGCGACCCCTCCAAAACTGAGTTAGACGCTGCATCATTCCCTCCTCCGGATTTAACATATCCGTTCACGGATCAGATTCTGGAATTCTCTATCAGTGATGTTATCGAGGCTATTGATGATATTAAGCCAAATGCTTCATCTGGTCCTGATGAGATCCCAGTTGCTCTACTTAAGAATTGCAAAGATGCTATGGCGATTCCTATCCATCTGATCTGGTCAAAATCCCTTGCATCTGGAGATTAATGATATTGAGCATTGCATAACTGAATCCATCATCAGATGCTTTGCAGACGACACTCGTGTTTCAATATCGGTAACCTGTGAACAAGACGTATCTGTGTTACAAAACGACTTGAACAGTGTCATAAAATGGTCTGAACGAAACAATATGGCACTACATAAAGACAAGTTTGAGTACATGTGTCACAGACACAATCGACGTAGTGCTCTCGTCGAACTTCCTTTTGTTAGTGAACTATACCAGTACTCAGTATCCAAAGACAAGTCACTCGCACCTGTAGGTCAACTAAGAGACCTCGGGGTTCTCGTCTCCAACGATCTATCTTGGCAACCCCACATCAAGACCGCAGCAAACAAGGCTCGACAAAAAGCTGCCTGGGTTTTCAGTGTCTTTCAGACAAGATCTCCAGTCATAATGCTTACGCTTTACAAGTCGATGGTTCGTAGTTTACTGGAATACTGTTGCCCGCTATGGCACCCCTCCAAGATATGTGACATCCAGGAGCTTGAAAGCGTACAGAAAGCTTTCACCGCAAGGATTACTGGAATGCGTGATCTCCATTATTGGGACCGTCTTCAACGGCTATCTCTGATGTCTCTACAGCGTCGCAGGGAGCGGTTCATTTTACTTCATATGTGGAAGATTCTCCATCACCATACCAGCAACGACATTAACGTGCAGTTTGTCTCCAGGCCACGTTTTGGAAACCTTGTAGTCATTCCATCTGCATGCAGACACAGCTCAGCAGCAAATCAGTCACTGTATGATAATTCATTTGCAGTCATAGGCCCAAAATTGTGGAATGCAATGCCTTACCATTTGAATTCCATCGACGACCGAGAGCATTTCAAATCGCAGCTCACCCAGTTCATGCTATCTCTTCCGGATACACCGCCCATCAAGGGCTACACTCCTCAGAACTCAAACTCGCTGCTTTGCTGGAGGAATGACAGAGAGATCTCCTCTCTGTGGGGTGGTCACACAATGTGATGGCCCTGTTAAAGCTTAACGAATCTCAACATAGGTGACATAGGTAGGTAGGTGAAACGACGATTTGGCGCCCCCTGCAGCTGCGGGCCCTTCGTTACGTCACTGTTGCATAGTAACCATGGTAATGGTGTTGAAATGCGCACATGCATGTGCAATGATTGTTTCAACGTCATTTTGTGGTAATTACGTTGTGTTCACTCATTCAGTGCGAGATAAATCTTAATTGGCTGTGTCTTCGGTTGTGATGGATATTTTTGGTGCAATAAATCTATACTATAAAATATATTTTTGTTTGCTTTAATTGATACTAAATAAAATTGTTGTTTTCTTGAAATTGTTGTTTTCTTGATATATTAGTGGAGGCTCTTACTGGGCCGCGCTCAGCCTGTCATTCCGCCAAATCTATATATATATGTTAATGAACATAATAGCCTGGGGTCCTCAGGTATATGAGGAAAGGAGGTTCAACTAATCTATACCATTCCCCATTGTTTATTTTACATTTTTATCCTGCAGTAGCTTACTACATGCAGCATCGTTCTTTATCGACTGCACTGTTCATAATCTTTGTTGCTTGATACTGAAATCATTTTAATGGATTCTCTAATTTATACATTTCTGTTCCACTGAAAATATTAATATATTTTTTTCATATAGTGTGATGATCCTTTGCACAGATGCGTGATAATGTGGTGTCATACTTTTTACTTTACTTCACTTTGCTCTACTCCTCTTTCAGAAAAAATCATATAATCAATTTTCCATCATTCACCATAAAAACACAACAGCTTGTCCAGCCTGTGGCGTAACTGGCTGGACAAACGTGCGCGTTTTGCTCTAGAAACACACTTTTTTAGAGATTTTACGGGCGTATCCTCTAAAATCACCTAATTTGTTCAATTTTAGGGAGGGGCGCCAAAAGGGGAGGGGGCGCCTACAGGCAACGTTATGCAACCTTAAAACATTGAAGTGGTTGTCTACTCAGAATCACTTTACATTCAATCTCAATAAATGTTTTTGCCATGAAACGGACCAAACTGATCCTAACTCATATTCCACTCATCATAGCATATCGCTTCAGCATGTACAAAGGGCATAACCTCAATCAGTTTAATGTAGTGAAATGACTGGTGTGAATGAAGTAGTGTACTAATACAAGTTGGAGAGGATCAGGTAAGCTTAGTCAGCATCCATGATGTTACAAACCCTCTGGGACATTACTGCGCCCAGTCTCCAAAGTTACAGTAAATTCCTACTACGGACAAACAAACACAGACAAAACACCAACAAGAAACTGATATACACTAGCTAGCTCAGAGAGGAAATGAGTACCGGCTCAGGAGGTACATTCAATCTCTTAACATTGCATTATGCCACATTTCTGACAACCTTTAAATTTAGACGGGTGAATTAACAGATAATTGTAGAATCAATTTAAAACATTGTAACAGAACACATGTCAGCAAATAAATTAATGGGTAAGGGATTGTTCACATGTTTTTTAGCTGCGTATGGACCAGTGGGAGGTAGAGTTGTGGGGTTTAGAAATGTCTTTTCCACACTGTAGCTAGGCATAAAAAAAAAAAAAAAAACATGAGAAATTTCCCTTAGCTAATCTGAATTGACTGAATCTAAATTTTCATAAGATCCCTGTCTGCCTGATGGAATTTCTATTGTATGTGGGAATATTAATTCAACTGCAGCCAAAATTGCTAAATTCGCTAGAAGTACACCAGCGAGAACAATGTAGGCATTTTGGTAGCTCATGAATTCCAACATAAATCCTCCAATAACGGGCCCAAAGAATGCCCCTGTGAAGTAAGCCGCTCGAAAGAGTCCACTCATTTGACAGGAGCTAGTTTCCCTTGAAACATGCGTAATGTACTGATACTGAACTATCAAGCAAGGTAGAATACCGATCTGAAAATAAACTTTAATTAACCAATTGAATTTAGTCTTGACTTTATATTATTCCACAGTCCACACTCTAGCATTTTAAACTTCATTTCTCAGACAACAGAATTATTGAAAGAAAGCTTACTGTAACTTGTATCCAAAACAGATAGAAGCTATTTGGGAATTAATTAACTATGGCGTTTACATTAGCTGGTTTTGGTAATAATAAATCTTGATGCATACCTGAGTCAAGCCACTGCCGAAGTCAATAACTGATAGCATAATTGCTGCCCAAACTGCACTGCTTTTTATAAACTCCTGGTCAATCGCTAAACAGCCACATATCATCATAGCCATGCCACTGAATATCATTGTCTTCCTCGGAACTTCTTTGTCTACTAACATTCCTGAAAACGACCAGTTAAAGCTTTTTAGAATCAGAGTCATGGTTTCATTAACAATTTCATTAACAATTTCATTAACAATTGTAACTGGTGTATTGATCAGATTTATTCCATCCGCACCATTATTCACAACTGCATTGAGTTTAACATTCCACTTTATGTTAATTTCATTGATTTTAAGGCAAAGGTTTGATTCCATCAGAAGAGAGTTTATTTGGTCAAGCATGAGACACTATGGACTTCCTGAGAAATATGTTAGAATCTTTCAGGCATTCTTCAACGGAACCATGAGTGCTGTCAGGGTTAATGGTGAAATGTCTGATTGGTTCTCTGTTAATTCGGGCACTGGACAGGGTGATATCCAGGGCCCTCCTGTATTTAATTTCTGTCTGAACTTTGGAATCTTTTTGGCCGAGGTTCACAAGGCAATCAGTCATGGTGCTGTACTGCAAAAGGAACTAAAGGGTGCAGATGAAAAAGTTATCATGGATAGTGACTACGCTGATGATCTGGCAGTGATGGACAATACTGAAGAAGGGCTGCAAGAGTCCACTGATCTTATAGCTTATTACACCTCTTATGCTGGGTTGAAGATCAACGCTAAAAAGACACAATGCATGGCGATCAGCAAGTGTGCGTCCCAGCGACCTTACACCGAAAGAGACAGTATAAAGCTAACAGTGGAGGGAGAACCTGTTGAACAGGTCAGCAACTTTGTTTATCTTGGTGCCAACATCAGTGGGGATGGTACCATTGACCGAGATCTTGACATCAGGATCCAGCGTGCTAATGGTGCGTTCCATCAGCTTTGGAAGATATGGAACAGTCGAACTATAAGAACGCCCACCAAGATCCGTATCTACAAGGCTGCTGTTATTACTATTCTGTTATATGGAGCTGAAGTGTGGAACACAACAAAGAAGCAGATGAAACGGTTTGAGGTCTTCCATCTGACCTCCCTGAGAAGAATCTTGAAGATAAAGTGGTTCTTCCATGTCTCCAATGAAGAAGTTCTCAGGCGTGCTGGAATTAAGTCTATCGAAACTTTCATCGGTGCGGCTAGACTAAGGTGGTACGGACATGTTGTCAGAATGCCAGAGACGCGGTTCCCCAATTTCTTACTGGATTGGAAACCAAACTATGGAAAGAGACTGAGAGGACGACCCCGCAAAGGCTGGATGGCCTGTGTACTCGAGGATGCGGCTGAATTTACAGGTGTCGATAACATCAGCAGAGATGCAGTAAAACAGTTGGCTCTAAAGCGAGTGGAATGGAGGAACATGTTACGCCGTAGAAGAGATGTGTGTGATGCAGGCCACTCCAACGACTAGGAGGAGACCTCTTCATGTAGCATGTATGTATGTAATTGGTGATCCATTATTTATTTTAAGTAGCCAACTAAAAAAGTTAATCCCAATGTCAAATATGATATCTTTTACCTGCTGTTACAGTTGCTATGCAATACATTAGTCCTGCTATGGCAAGAACAGCACCAACATAACCTTCTTGTTTGTTAAATATCACGCTGTAAAAGTTAGGGTAGAAGAACTCTATTGTGTTCACAATCATGGATACTAGAGTCTCTGAGAACATCCCTAGAAGAACAACTGGCAGGATGAACAGTGATGCAATTGTTGTTCGTTCTTGATCTGTTCTGGTAGGTTGACTGTCTTCTGAATCGAAGTCTGGTTGATCAAACATCACACTAGGACTCAAGAGTATCAGTCCTCCAATGCTAGCAAATAGGTTGAATACACCTGGTTGGTAAAACTCAACATTGTCAAACTTGCTAAATCTGTTTTAATCAATTTTATCTAGTTGAAATCAGAAAATAGTCTGCATGCAGTCAGCTATGTCTAGAAGTAAGATATTTGATTCTTTAAAAACGTTTATAGTTGTACCATACAAAATAATACTAACATGGAATTGTGGAGGCGACTGCAAAACCATGATTTTGATAGATAAAGCCGCCCAAAAAAGGGCCCACTGTAGATGATATGCTAGCTGCAAGCTCAAAAGATCCGGTCACGAATCCTAGCCTCTCTGGATACAATGATGTCATAACTGACATAAGCTGAGGCTCTGAAACATGAAATATGTTAGCACTTAGTTTTAAGATTCTGTTTTGTCAATAGTTACTTCTGAAGAAGAAAAGAAAAGTGACCTTAGCCATTAATGATGATATATTGTTCGATTCGATATATCATTAATGTCACCCACCACATAACCCAATGACAAAACCCTGTATCATTCTTGTGATGAACAGAACAATGACAAAGGCTGTTTTGTCAAACTTGACGAAAAATATGGGAGCAGATAGTGTCAACACAATGACTGTGAGAAGTAAGGTCTGCCTAGGCTGGATACATCTGGTGAATCTATTGGAGAGCAATGCAGCACCGGCTAGGGAGAAGGAGAATGCGCCAACAATGCTCCCGGACGTTATCTTGTTGTGTTTCCAAACCTAGAGAGGGTGTTATAGTTACATCTATCTTCTAGAGGCATGTATTTGTTATTTGCTGTGTTAAGGTGGTAATATCAATGTACAGTTCCGTTATTTATATATATGTTTAAATTATATAAAACTACATCTTTATTCATTTTCAATGGAAAGCTGTGAAAAATCTCACCTCAATAAGTTCATTGACCAAAAACGCTAGAGGCATGGTGAAAAAGAAGTACTGGGTTGTTATTGTAAGGAAACAGAAGGCAAACAGTGCTTTCTTCCACTTATCTGACTTTCCTGCCTTCTGAATTTCATTATTTTGTTCTGGTTGCTGAAGAATAGAGTTTGTAAATTTAGGCAGCAACTAACAACATATAATCTCTAATAGGTATGGTCCAATGAAGCAAGTATACGGTTATTTGCTCAGTTACCGCTAGTTAGCCACAAAGAATGGAAAATGATACACAAGTCTGTGATCTTTCTTGGAACAGGACACAGGAACTTGACGAAAGTGCCGGGGATAAAGAAAATAACCCCGTAAGTCAAAAGAACCGCCAGTGTATAGATGTGGATACTGGCGGGGAGGTGAAACACATTTGTTTACATTTTTAGGGTAAGCACATGTTCGGCGGGTTGAAGAGGTGATACACATTTTGTATTATACAAGGCTTGTAACACTTGTTACGCTTTCTGACCTAAAATTGCACGAAAAATCGATTTAGCAAGGTTTCAGAACCTATAAACACTTCCTTATCCCTCAAAATTGATGTTTTATAGTTGATACGAGCAACAAGCAACATATTTTTTGATCCTTCGGTTCTACTCATGACCTAGGCAGTTAAACTGAACCCGACAGATCGAGGCAATCCTCACCTTAACTGATCAAACTGGTACTAACACAATTTTCAGATATAAATGTTCTTTGCGATACGTTTATTGGAGCTTTGCAACTTGAGTGAAGACCAGAGTACGAAAACACACAGCAGGTAAGCAACTCACTTTTGGTGACTGTTCCTCACGAACATTCTGATCCTGTAACATATGAACAGGGAGATCGTCTCCTTAACAAATCGAACAGGTACTATCACAATTTCCAGAGCACAGCATGATAAAAAAGTCTTGTTAAATAGTTGCAGACCAGAGGAGACTTGGAATTTGAAAAATTTAGGTGAAGAATTCTTTATTGACTGCCGCTATTGTTTCTACTTGTCCAACTCGAAAAGTTGCAGATCAGAGGAGACTTGAGGAATTGAGTAACAACAGTCTTACACAGTCGTTAAATACCTGCAGACCAGAGGAGACTCGAGGAATTGAGGAATTTTAAAAATGTATGTAATCGGCAGTCAAACCATACAGCTAATGGACAACAACAATCAAATATCATACAAATTCCCGAGATGCCAACAGTTTCCAACTTCCCCTCTTGAAGATCAACATGAGAACCAGTCATAATACCTTCTAATAATATTGTTCCTAATATTGAGTAGTTTCGACAGAAATGTGTTACGAAGGAAAAAGGGTATTTAAGAATGATATTATAAATCACTCTACAATGAACTATCACGTGACTAAGTTGGCCCATACTATGTAATGTCATCGGTAGATCAATTAGGAGGTAAATGGATAATATCACTTTTTAATAACCTTTTTGATCCATCCAACAGGTTTTAATAGTTTCTACTTTTCTGCTGATTCTTAGCTCTGCATTTTTTCTTGATTTTCTGAGCTACTTCAATTTCACACGGTGAAAGCTAACATGATAATTATTAGATGACGTTTGTATAATAAAATTCACCTTTCGCTAAAATACGGTTATCAGCGGTTAAATTTACCAAAAATTCTCCTGTCACTCACAGATTGTACAGCTTCGCCTACACCCCCTCCACCGTCCTGGCTCCGATGAGATGGGGTCGGGTAGCGTCTGACAAAGCACGCACTGATCAAGTGCACGAATAAATTGTGGAAAGTTGCTCTGATTAAGGCGTGCACAATATAATCAAATATAAAAAAAGACCGATGGTCCATGCTTGTTTCTTGTAACTAATTTTGTAGGACCTGTTCTTCCATATATAATATAAATTATGTGGTGGTTTCCGTGGTTAATTTGTTACCATTGACCATTTTTCTTTTGGTTATGTTACTGCACTGCTTTGTTCAGTTGGGTTGACTCAAACTGTCATAGCGCTTTTAGTTTTTGGTTCTGATAATTTGTTTTGGTGTACTCTAAATTCAAACCCAAAATTATCGAAATGTCAAATAGAATAGCATCATTACGTTACAAAAAACATTATAAAATATATCTCATAGCATTCACAGAATTCAAAACAAAGTCCCGTAACAGTAAGCAGGTCATAATTGTCTCCCCAACTCCGACCACATAATCCTCAAAACTCGGCAAGGTTCCAAACAGCGCTCCGCCAGGCTGACCAGTCTCCTGGAGTAGAACTTCCTCGTGTGTAGTGGAACTTTCGCTCTCTTATTCAGGATATCAGAAGTGTCTGAGAATGCAGGTCTGCCCGTCATACAGCCGTACAGAACACACCCGATAGCCCAGACACTGGCTTGAAGTGGGAAGTAGTGAGGTTTGGAGAACGCTTCAGGAGGCAGACATGCGGTGGTGCCTCTGAGAAAGTTGAGAGGGTGTTTCGAAAGAGGTAGAGCAGTACCGAAGTCTATCAGTTTGAGTTGGTTTGTCTTGGGATTGTAGAGGATATTCTCTTCCTTGATGTCTCCGTGGTCGATGTTGTTCTGAAGACAGTAATCCACAACTGTGTACAGCTGCTCTGCTATGTTCAGTACGGTCTTCTCGGTAAGTTTGCACTTTCGAGTCAAGGTGTGCAGATCACTGAATCCTGGCTCGTATTCCATCAGCAGATACCATTCTCCCTTAAAGAGGAAGTGAGTTTCATACTTCACTACATTGGGGTGATGGAGTGATCTTAGTGTCGCTATTTCTAGTGGTAGTTCTGTCCCGTCTTGATAAACCATAGGAAGGTCAGGATGATCTCTGAATATCTTGACCACGTATCTGTTGAGGGATATATTGTGCTGTGTAAGGTACACAGTACCATTACCTCCTGCTCCAAGTTGCTTGATAACGATTAAATCTCTTAGAAGGGTTGAGGATAACATTTTGCTTCGTAGAAAAGAGGTATCTCGTATCTTTTATACTGGTACGGACGAGCAACTTTGAAAGAAAACAAATTCAAGTTTGAAAGAACTGGTACGTCTTCTTTGAAAGGACGAATTTAATCAGTCGATACCCGTTATCACGTGACCAACATGTTTTCTATGTGGATCTGACAGTCTAACGGGCGATCAAAAACCCTAGCCGTCTACTCTGACCACAACCTTAAGCCAAGCAATAAGCATTAACCAAACCCTAATAATCCTAATAACCCTTGAACACCTATTCTGTGTGGTTCTGACGACCAAAATCCTAGCCCTTTATTAATTGACCTCAACCCTAATACAAGCTAATTATTATTCAGTTTCACCTCAAGTCTCCACTGGTCTGCAGTTATTTAACAATTAGGGCAAGTAGAAACAATAGTAGTTATACAGTTAATTGCTAACTCATGGTGCCAAGTATCCCAAACGAAGGAGGACCACAAAGCTATGAAATTTGGAAGCTGAACCAAGTTCGTGTCTCGACAGGTTCCGCCAGAGGGCCTGCTTGTGATAGATGAAGCATCATCTCTTGGTTGCAGTGGGCCAGGTGACTTCGACAGCGTTAATCACTCATCACAGGTTCGACTACAAAGCATGTCAGTGTCGTAAACGTTCCGTTGCATGTTCAGCTTATCAGAGTAAACTGAGTAGGGTGAGAATGGCCGAATGGGGTAAAGTGCTCCGGATAGTAGAGTCGTCTATAAGAGAAATTAGAAAAAAACTTTCCGCAGCAAATTTTAATGACACATTTCCTGTAGGAATTCTCATCACAATTTTTGTCCAGGCAGTAGCTGTATCGATGCTACTATTGTACCTTCGTGGGCTTATATACCACTGCAACGTGCGAGTATGTTATCCCGATCAGATGCCAATGTGAACCGACAACGTGCAGCAACAGAGGTGCACCAGTGCGTGCCATGGGATCATAAAAGAACAAGAAAAATCGGTCCCCATTAAGTTTAACACCACATAATGTGAGTCGTTGGATCACAAGCAGAAAATGGAGGGAACAATTGTGTCGAACGCTACCTGGACTCTAGTTCGACACGTACCGGAGTTCGACAGTGGTGATTTCTGACGAACTTTAGTACATGTCGGTCGTCGGACTACAGTACGTTATTTCGAGTAAGTGCTGTTATGTTGAGGAGGCACTGCTTCGCTGAACTACTCAAGGGAGGGAGTTCAAAGTTTCTAAATCAACCAATTAGGTTTAGTTCGAGTTTAAAATTATCTTGAAGTAAGTGATATATTGGTTCCTCTTAAAAGAGTGAGATTCTGTAGTTTTGTTATTGGGTGACAACTCACAACTGACAGGGAATTGTAACAAACCGATTTGTTTAAAAGTTATATTTAATAAGCGACTCTTCACTACCGCGACCGTCGCTTGTTATAATTTGTTACATTTGTTTTTATCAAATAATTGTTTTATTAACCAAAAGTTTACTATCTTGAGTAGGACTAGGAGTTGGGCAAACAACTTACCCTCAAGTATGAGGTTTCTGATGTGTAGAAAGAACTGTAACCGTGTAACTTGGTTAACAAACTTATGGGGAGAGGGAGGGTAAAACTTTACAGCTAACTTCAGGGTGACAGCAGGAGAAGTCGGAGCGTCTGATTTCCACTTGTCAGGAGCATATAACTTGAGTTTGTGGTCGGAAGGTACGAACTCAAACACTCCCTTAGCGGGGAAATTCGATGCTTTTTAATTTGATTTGTTGTTTGTGTAGCGTTTTTTAAGCGATGTTCGTGAGTACAAAAAGTGGAACTAAACATGGTTATAACATTGGCAGTGTAGAATTTTAAGTTTTTGTCTAGTTTAATTATTTAAAATTGGTATACGGTATACCATTTTGTCAAAAATTTGTTTTCCTATTCGGCTTGTACGTTTATAACCTACCAGGACGCGCGCCGAGTTGGACTCGTCGACGGTCAATATATGGAACAGATATTTTACGAGTATCACCCGTTAAAGGCTACAAGAGCCGCGCGCTGAGTTAGATTGCAGATATTGTAAAATCTGATTTTTGATTAAAATCGCATAAACGCGCTTACTTGCGCGTTTTAAAGGGTTCAATTACGGCAGGCTATGTTTATGAACATAATAGCTTAATTGACGATGTCAATTCATGGCAGCTCGGCGCGGCACAGTAGTGCATTTTGCCGATCTAGCCAGTGAGAAGCCTCATTGAGTGCGCGGCGCGGCACAGTAACGCATCGCGCTACAAATAATAGCCTGGGGTCCCCCAAGTAAGTATTATTTCATCCAATGTTTGAAGTTTAGCTTTGTTTGCTATCCTGGATCCTTCCGGTAATGGAGTGGAGTTAACGGGTGATACTCGTAAAATATCTGTTCCATATATACAGGACCGTCGACGAGTCCAACTCGGCGCGCGTCCTGGTAGGTTGTAAACCTACAAGAGTGGAGTTGTTTTTAATATTATGGAGTGGAGTTGTCTAATATTCTAAGATCATCATATTTATGATCATATATTTCACTTCACCATTTGCTTTAGCTCTAACCATGCCAGTATGCCACTATGCCAGACTGCCAGAGCCCTCTCGCTTGCAGTAGCGCACGACCGCCGAAGGCTATGCATAGCGGTTTCTTTGCGCTTAAATCCAATATTCGCGCGCAAAAATTACTACCAAATCAGACTGATTAAAGCTGCTCATATCTGCTATATAGCATCAATTAAAAATCAATGTAGCGACGACTCCGAACTAATCGATGAAGATGCGATGCTGGTCGCTTCTTGTATTAAAAATAATCTGAGACAAACAATGTTATTACTATAATATTGTAGCATAATGACGCTTTGCGTATAGCTGCTTTCCCATTTCTAATTATGCATTTCATCCTATAGTACAACTTGTAATATGATTAACTAATCAATATTAACTTAACACTAGAGAAGCTTTTTGGTGAAAATAGTAAACAACTTATTTCAGTTCAAACTAAATTAAAGGTCAGACCGGGATTCGAGCCCTCAGCTAGCACGGTCAATCGCCCTCTTAGCCAACTAAGCTATCGTTCCGGGGGCCGAAAATCAATATTAACTATCATATTCTCGTGCTCGCGCATTCCCTTCGCAAAGTTATTCTACGACGGTGTACATTTTTAGCCATTTTGGGGCTATTGCGCGGCGCGGAAGCTTTAAACTGTCATAACTCTGTCCAGGAACAGTCCCCAGAATTGATTAAACTTGTGATTTCCTAGTCAGAGGATGTACTTTACGAAAACATATGATTTGTCATACCTGCGTCCACACAGTGGAATCACAAATGGGTATAGTCGCGAACGCAAAGAAACCGCAGGGTGTGAAAATTTGCTTAATCGCGAAACAAAATCCACGGTAATGAAACTTTTTTCACGTATAATAAAAACCCCAAATAACTTTTCCTATTTTTGTTGTATAACACGTCGTGACCCCAACGGTCGTTTCACTACGATACAGGGGAGCCGCGCACTCGTGCGCGGCGGGTCATGCAAGGTATAAAAATATTTTTGACTGTGGCATAAAAGTTAATCATAAAAAATTAACGGCACGAGTGTTACTGGGCCGCGCTCAGCCTGTCATTCCGCCGAATCTCTATTATAATTATGTTTATGAACATAATAGCCTGAGGTCCCCAGGATTAGAATAGAGATTAGGCGGAATGACAGGCTGAGCGCGGCCCAGTAATCCCCAGGTAAACACGAGTGATACTCGTAAAATATTTGTCCCAAATATTAAAACCGTCAAGACCATTGAAGAGTCCAACTCAGCGCATTTTGGTAGGTTAATATAAATATAAATTTTCAATGATACCATACAATTTTTTTCCGAATAAATGATCAATTGGAAAAAGTCCCAAAAAATAAAAATAAAAGATAACAAAATATTAAAATTTTTCGCGCATTTTAATTATTTAGTACTTTAATGGAATGCAATAATTTCATTTTAAAATGTTTTTCTTTAAATCTTATGAAAAAATGTTCTTATGTATCTAAAATAAATTTAATGATTAAGGCCACAATTTATTTTAAAATTAAATTAAATTTTAGTCGCGCAGCTCGCGTATTCCATATTTATACAAATTTATTGTTCATTGTTTTTACCGTTGTATGAATGATGTAAATCGAGCGTTAAATCGAATACCTTCATATTTTCAGAATACTATCCTTTGAGTTGTTTTATATACTATTTATAATCTAGGTAAACTATAGGTAAAAATATAATATTAATCATAAGCTAAAATGTACTAATCTTTGTATTCTAAATGGGGAAAAAGAAGAAACATTGTCAGTCAGTCGTGAAAATTGTCAGTCAGGCTATATGGCAGCTTTGTAGATGTTGTGACTATGCTAGTAGTGGTCCCAGGCTTGCGACTGGAATTGCGGTGTTAAATCGATTTAATGGTATACCAACGATCCACCTCCCACTTGTTGTTTGGTACTTAGCATTAATAGTGTTAGCTATAGCCATTTATAGCAAGAATCTTAAAACTAAAGGGGATGACAAGGAAAAGAGGAAGGAAAAAGAATAACGGAACAAACAATTAATTAAAGTATTTATAGGAGCAATAGTTATTGTAATTACAAGCTTCAATAATAAATCACTGACTAAAACTTCTAATTAAAATGACACTTGGTACGCTCGCCCATTTTCACTGGTCAGTCTGAACTTCGGTTTAGCACGTTGTACACTTATTCACCTAAGTTTCAGAATTTGTTCAGTTTAGCAGAGTTAGTACCCGTGTTTCAATAAATCAAAAGATATCAGGGGAGTTCTTTAATAATGTTTTTTTTTTATCTAGACACTTATTTTACTTCGGTGTATTCCAACAGCCACAATGTTACACAAGTGCAACCAGCCAATTACAGGAAGCCGAAGGATCTTTTTGGCCAGTGACGGTTAAGGTAGTGTGTACCATACTTTCTTCGTCCGAGACTTTGCTGCAATGTGCAGCTCCTCATTTAA